AAAACCACCCTTATTCACACTGTGCCTCCAGAGTGGCTAGACGACAAGAGCACGAGCGTGGGCGTAACTAAGGGAGGTGTCCACGTCAGCACGGGCCACCCCAAGTCAGGTGGCACCAACGTCAACGTGGGCCACGGCAGCGTTGGGGTCCACACCGGCAAACCAGGCCACCGCACAAACGTCGGCGTCGGCAAGGGCGGTGTCACTGTCGGCACCCGAACCCGCAAGGGCAAGCCAGTCTATGTCAGGGTCAAGCCCGGTTACAGCCCATTTATCTACAACTACGCGGCCACCGAGACCCAACTGCACGACAACCCAAACGTGGCCCTATTCTTCCTCGAGAAAGATCTGCACGCAGGCCGCAAGATGAACCTGCAGTTCCCAAAAACTACAAACAGGCCCGCATTTTTGTCCCGCCAGGTGGCAGAATCGATGCCCTTTTCCTCAAACAAACTACCCGAGATACTTAAAATGTTCTCACTAAACCCCGCTTCGCAAGAAGCCGAAACCGTTAAGAAAACGATTGAAGAATGTGAGGAGAAAGGAGTAGAGGGAGAGAAGAAAGTATGCGCGACCTCTCTCGAGTCCATGGTTGATTTCGCCACCTCAAGGCTCGGGAAAGACGTGAAGGCGATTTCGACAGAAGCCGAGAGTGGGCGGGAAATGGAGTACGCCATTGTTGGGGTGAAAAAATTGCCGAACGAGAGAGGACTTGTGGTTTGCCACAGGCAGGAGTACGCGTACCCGGTGTTTTACTGCCACGAGACAGGGAAGACAGCAGCATATGAGGTGGAGATGGCGACAGCTGGCAGCGGGTCGAAGGCGGCGGCAGTGGCGGTGTGCCACCAGGACACGTCAGCGTGGAACCCTAAGCATGTGGCGTTTCGGGTGCTCAAGGTGAAGCCGGGGAGTGTGCCGGTTTGTCATTTTCTTCCGGAGGATCATGTTGTGTGGTTTCCTAAGGATTAAGAGAGGAAAAAGACAGAGAAAGAGATGAGTGTGCTTTGTTGATATGGTGTGTTTTGTGTTTTTGGATGTGTTTTTTAGCAAATCCTAGTGGATGGGATGATGGATGTCTGTGGTTATGCATGTGTTTGTGATATATGGATCTGAAATGCTGTGTTTCTTTCAGATAGTGAATGAAAGCAATAAAAATGTATGCCCTTTTGTGTCTTTAAAATTTATTGGAAAGGACAAGAAACACCAGGGTTTTCTTGAAAAGTATCGTATTGAGAGTGTGATTTATCATTTAAGTAAATTTAGAAACAAATGTCAGTACTAAGTATGGAATCTAATGGAACAACTACAGAATTAACAGATTACCTTTAGGGTGAAATGTAGGCCACACATATGCACAGGTGTCCTTCCAGAAAGGCTAGGTAGAATTTAGGCTCCTTATAGTATCTTAAGAATTAGGGTCAAAAGGTTCCAAAGATCCCCATGTTTTTCCAACTTTTAATTTGACAGGCAAAGGAACTGCAAAAGAAGTAAATTAAGAAACATTATTCCGTTGAGAAAAATAATGAAGTATATAGGAAAAACTTGCAGAAAATCTCACTTGGATCATTCTGTAAAGAATTCCTGTTGGCTGATGTATGATGGTAAATTGTTATTATTATTATTTTTTTTTTCTTCTCAGTCAAACTTGAATTCATATGGATTTAGTGAGCCAGAAAAGATAGGACAGGAGAATCTTAGAGAGGCAGAGGTTAATTTTCATTCCATTAACAAAAATGTAATTCATATTTCTTAGCTCTGAGACCATTACCAAGAAGTGATACGCATCTTTCCATGCATGTTTGCAGCAACAAGCCAGCTTCTTTTACAACCAAAGGATCTGATTCCAGAACAAGTTCATCATGTACCTAATGAATGAGCACAGGTTGAAAGCCATGTCAAGAAGAAACTCACAAGCATCAATAGACAAATATTATTTCCAAATCAGAGAAACCTGAAACTAATTGCAAGAAGCTGTAAACCACTCCATCTACAAACAAGATTTATGTTACGGAGAAAAACTAACAATTGTTGGAACCATAAAATACTTTTCAGCCAGTTACCTGTAGAAGGATCCGACAGCGACATTTAAGATTCTGAATTTTTTCCATATCTATGAAAGTAGGACAAGATGCTTCAGAATCCTCACCAATCATATTGTGCAAGCATATCATTGCGATTTTTATTATGTCAGCAGCAGATCCCTGTAACAGCCAAAAGTACTTTTGTTTTCAAGTAAAAATTATTTAATTCAACATCCATTAACAAATGAATATAACTTCCCCATCCCATCATAAGACAAAAAGGGCCTTACCCTAAGGATACTAATGAAGATAAAAGCTGAAGTCAAAAGAGACTAACAACTAAAAAACTGTAGTGATTCCAAGGGAATAACAAACAACCTGACAAATAGAATTCACAGCTTGTCTCTGAGCTTTCGATTTCTCCTTACTGTTCCCAAATTTAATTTTTGCTAAGAAACGCTTTCGTCCCTTTAATGTCTCCACATAACTGCAAAAAAGGTTATAGTGTCATAAGATGTGATTGTTAGATCGATGGGAGAAAAGGAAGAGGACGTGGTATATGTCTCAGTTTAAGAAAATGAATATAAAGTCTCGAAAGGAAATATTTCTCTCTGGTAAACAACTTAAAGTTATGGAAATAGTGACACCTTCAGTTAAAACTTCTTTTGACACAAAGAAACTGATAACAGTAAATTTGAGCCGACTGCAAAACTTAAAATAAGATACATAAAATCGAACTTAAACATTTCTTTTAGCAATATTCATGAACTAAGTTAGTAGTTATGTTTGTCCCACATCTATTAGTTATTGGGCTGTTATTGTGTATAAGTGGGGGTTGGGCACCCTCTCCTTCTGAGCTAGCTTTTGGGGATGAGTTCGACCTAGGCCCATTTTATCAAACTACAAGACTGCAAGGCAAAAATTACTAGCATTCAGACCATGTTGGACCTCACCCTTTCTTATGACATGATGTAACTGCTTCCTGAAGCCAGGAAGCAACACCAGGGAATGATTTCTTAAAATTTTGAATTCTTTCTGAGGCTTCATCTGGACTGCAGTCCAATTGCTCGGCCAGAGTGTTAGGTCCCATCCCATACAAAATTCCATAAACCAGTCTCTTTGTTTGATCTCTCTCTTGAGAGCTGACATCAGACTCATGTTTCTCACTCCATTTCGCCGCAATCATCGTAAAAACATCACCCTGGGGACTGGTCAGGAGCTTAATTAAGGAGTTATCTTTTGAGAAATGAGCCATAAGTCTCAGCTCTATCTGAGAATAATCTGCGGTTAGCAGCAACCAATCATCCTGCAACAAGAAAATGAAGTAACACAGGCTTTAATATTGCTTCAATTTGGAGCTGCTTTAGTTTAAAAGAAAGGTCTTTGAGTTTCAAAATCTAAAGCATCTCACCTGAGTAGGAATGAAGAAATCACGTGCATTGATCTTATAGTGACCATTACCTAATTCCTCATCATCTTCATTCGTTTTGAACTCAACCAAATGCTCAACACACTGTCGAGTTCATTCCAGGAAGAGGAGGCCATTTAGGCTTACTTGAAAAAAGAAGAAATAAAACAAACAAGCAAACCAAACATCAAAGTAAGCGCAGAGGAGACCTGGAGGTTAGGCTCTTCCATGGAAAGCCGACCAGTAGCTGTTGATGTCTGGAGCCAATGACCATGCAGAGTATATTTCTGGGTCCTCATAGACAGTCTGGCTAGAGAACATATTGATCCCAAAGTAGAATTCATGAGTTTGGCCAGTGACCGATGCTCCTTAATTACTGGGACGATAGGGTGCTCATTTCTGAAATACATCAATGTTTTGGAGTGAGATAAACTCTGAAGTGGGGAAAATCAACAGACTGGACATCACTGAACAGTGGCAATATTGCATGAATAAAATAATTTACAAAACGGGAGCACGCTGATATAAATTATCATAGTCTACAGAACATCATCCAAAGAAACTAAAGAATAGCATCAATTATTATAAGAAAAAAAAAAGGCCTAGTGAAACTAAAGCAATATCACTGGAAAAGCAAAAAAAAATTCTGGAACCAACTCTCCTCAGGAGTTGTAACTAAAAACCGTACAACGGATAATAAAGAGAATAAGATATGCAAAAATTAATGATAGAATTTCCCAGAAATAAACTCAATTTATACGTAAAAGATTTTTCAGATTATACCTTTATTTTCCTTTTTATTTCTATAAGAAAATTATGAAACGAAAAATAAAACATTCCTGGGAGTTAAATACCAGAAGAAGGCTCACAGTAAAGTATCTATCATTCTCGATACCTTAGCATATCCAGGCAGTGCTTGTCTGTGCTGGGGTGTTGTTTCCCACTAGTTCCTTCTGGCATTGGCAGCTTCAAGTGTTCAAATAGGATATTGGCTATGTCTGCAGGCATTGATAGTGAAAATTTCTTGCCAGCTAATGTGTAAGCTTCTTTCTGAAGACACTTGAGTTTTCTTCCTAGGATATGCCGCGCTCTAAGGCATCCTTCCATGTCAACACCTATTCCCCAGATCTCCATATCAGCAAGCACATTTACCTGTAAAACATAAGCAGCTTTAGTTTTACACACACCCAATACACAAATAGAACAAAAATTATGGCTAGCAACATTAGCCGAAATACAATATGTGAACTGAGGTAACTTGAACAACTCTTGGTTCAATATAAGATCCTCACCAATAGAATTTCAATTGTCGTGAGTGGTTCTACGAGTTTTTCAGATTCAAGTAATTTCCATAGGACAGAAAATAAAGCTCGAGTTTGTGAAACTCTGCGGCAGCAACCATTATGGGCAGCTCTTCGTGTCTGATCCTTCCATCTACCACTCCGGTGGGCCGATGCAGCAGCATCACTAGTCAACCTCCTTTTCACTTCCTGTCGGGATTCAAGAGTCAGAAACCATTTCGGATAACTAAAACTTTAGGAGATAGTCAGACGGGTTAAACCTTGGCCAACAAAATCAAAATCGCCATATGTATAATGTTTTTTTTTTTTTTTTATAATCCATTTCTATCTACAAGACTAGATTTGGTTAATGATAATGATTGGTTTCATTTAAAATGCAATTCTTGTGGAATATTGTCAACAACTGTAATATCAACATCGTAGAATTCATATAAGTCCAGAATATGAATGAGCTAATTCCCCTAGCTCTGTCACACTTCATCATTCTTCATAATTCATATCCCAATTATTGCACAATACACCTCTAAATAAAAAGATACAAACTATAAATAAAAATAAAATATTTATCGCCATTCACATAATACACCTCTAAATAAAAAAATACAAACTATAAATGAAATGTTGTTGTTGTTGTTGTTCACATAATATCAATTATAGTATTATATGGAATAACAAGCTTCTAGACTTGACTGCACTAAAACCAATCAAAAACCATTAGAACTGACATAAAAAAGCAAAGCTGACACAACTTCAAAATAAAATCAGACAATTTTTCACCAAGTCTATTATTGAAAAGTAACTCGTCCGAACACATTTTCATTTAGATAAAAGAAAAAGACAGACTTTTCTGACCTTCTCTTTAGAGTCTGAAGAAACAAATACAAAATAACTATAAAATGGAACTAGTGGAGTTACCTTTTCCAGATTAGGATACGAACTTCTTTCCTCATCGGGCGAAAGGATCCATGCTACAATGCACATATCAATTGCAGCCCTCACATGAACAGCAGATAACATGAAATAAGAATTTTCAATAAGATCCATGCCCAAGCTTTTGATTTCACCATGCAAGCTGCTAAATTTGTTAACAGCAACAGCAGGATTCTTAAGCACCTGAATTTGAACTTTTAAGTTCCAAGTGAACTTTTTACTGTCCTTTTTACCTACTATCATCCCAATCCTAGTCCATCGTTTGTTGACCATTTCCAGTCGGTGGTTTTCTAGCAGAACATCCTTACTGCCAGTAGATTGATCATTTCCATGGCTGCTGTAGCGGAATAAGTCCTTCTGAATATTCAAGTAATACACAGGAGAGTTTTCCCAGCAAATGGCCATGCCATGTATTTCAAATGGAGCAATTGAGTTCAAATCAGATTTTTTAGTAAAATGAATATCAAAAAAGAATTCTGTAGTTGCCTCCCAAAGATCCAAGAAAGAATCAACTCCACCAGGAATACTAGCAGCATTGACAGGTCCTTTGTCCAAAGTGTCTCCTCTGCGATTTTCATTATCAGGCTGACTTCTGATATTAGCAACACCTGCAAATGGGATAGAGGTGGATCCATTTGCATGACTGATGTCATTGTTGGTAAGAATTGGTTCGTGATTCAGGGTATTAGGACATTCTTCAACTGAAACAAGTGTTTCCCGTGGAGTCTCGCTCTTTGCAGTTTCAGCTGACTTTACCTTTATTGAAGAGACAAAGTTAGGTGCAAGAGTTTTTACAGGTTTGTCTTCCTCAATGTTTGAGATTACGCTAATATTTTCAGCCCTGTCCCCAGAAATGGGTGCATCCACCATATGCTTAGACTGTGGAAGAAGACCATAGCTACTTATAGATTCCTCCCCTGAGGATGATGCTGACTCTTTTTTAAGGCCATTTCCAGTAGCAACCGGTAATAATGGACGAGAGAACTGAGTAGTGTCTAGCCCAAGAGATTTGAAAGCCGAGAATGCAGCAACTCTTGCCTCTTCAGCTTTTTCAAGCACAATTTTCCGAGCGCCGTTTTTTATTTTCTTGGCAACTCCCATTTGAATTTTCCTTTGTGCCTCTTTAATGATCATGATGGGAAAATTGTCCCACATTAGATTTATCAAGCACATTGAAATTTACAATTTTTAGCAGCGGAAACAGAAAAGAAGAAAAAGAAAGAAGATTTTACCATGTGCATTCCATGAAGAAGATTCAAAAAGTGCCTTGACAATTTCAGGAACTGATGCTTCAGCAATAGCTTGAGGTGTTCGTAAACCAGCCTTATAAAGTGCTCTAGCTCGTGAAGCCTAAACATTCAACTTGCAGTTAGGATCTTCAATTTAGATTCATAGAATTCAATGTATAACACTTCACACCTTAATATAAGGAATGGTAGTTAGTTCTACAATCTCTGCTCTAACTCCAAAAGAAACACGGTTTTGAAATTTGGCGACTAGAACTTCAAGATCGTGCCAACCAATCCTCTCACAGAATACGGAAACCATAGATGCAAACCTTCCAGCATTTTCTTGCAAGGCCTGAACCATTCCTCTAGCAACTTTAAAACCTTCGCATACTTCACCCACGGGTATTTCCTGCATTGTTAGGATTTAAGTATGCCCCCACAAAGTGTGAAACCAAACTTATATAAAAAGAAACAAACTTATAGAGGTTACAAAG